ATGTGACCACCTGGACAGACCCCGAATTTAAAATATGAAGGGGGGTTCTGAGGCCTGGGGGAGAGGGCTGAGGGGGGTGGGGGGAGGGGGGTTGTCCCTAAATGGAGCTGAATTCAGGGAAAACAGCTGAATACATTGATGAAATGCATACGCTGGAGCTATCTTCCTGCTACACCAGGGGTATGTAATCTCAGCACTCCAGCTGTGGTGAAACTACAAATCCCATCATGATTTTGGCTGTCATAGTCTTGCAATGCCTCATGGGACTTGTAGTTTTACCACAGCTGAAGTTACCTACCCCTTTGCTAAATGATTTGTGTTTCTGTCCATCCAGTCCTGTGATTTGCACATCCTTGCCAGACTGAACAGGGCCGGTGGCCGCTGAAATGGAGACTGCACTTTTTTTTCTGTTGTGTCAACACAGCTTGTTCACCTCCCCACCCCCAGCTGGTCCCTGGACAGCGAAGGAGCGGAAGCAGACAGATGAGTTATCCCTCTGCTCTCTGGTCTTGTCGGCACATGTACACGCAGCACAGCTGATTGGCTCCTCGTACAGCTCCTCCCTCTCTCAGTGCTGCCACCCAGGATGATGAAGAGTTAAGTTGGGTATCTTGCATTAGCTGTATTAAAGTCACGCGGAACGATCACCTCCGCCGCGTTTACCCGGCGCCGCTCGTAAAACCCTGTAAGCTGGTTCTTCTCTTTCCTGCAGTGCCCAACCGGCAATCAAACCATTTAGCGTCTTATTGGCCACTTGTCGGCAGCTGCGGTCACCGCGTCCTGCGAGTCCCCCGCGCTCTGATAGGGATGTAATTGACACGTGTCGGCGGCGGCGAACAATGGAGCACTTGATTCCGAGCGCCTGGACATTGTTCGCCGGTGCGAAATTACCCGGCAATTCCGGCGCGCGAGATCTTCTATCTCCCGCAATAAAAGCCTAATGATATTTTTCTTTTCACGCCATTCGGCGCTTTGCGCTATTGTGCGGCTTCATTTTCTCCCTTCTGGAGCTTTTTTTCCTCCCGCCGGGAGAGAGGATGTAATGACTGTGTTTATCGAGCACTCTGAGGCTGATTAACGGAGAGCGGCAAAACGCTCGCACAGAGCCGGGCGCGACGGGTCCGCCCTAATCAAAATGTTTCTGCTAATTCCTCTGCCAATGGAGATCTGTTGGCTAAAAGGCCCCATTCTTCCCCCAAAACGCGCCCGCGTCCTGCCGCGCATGTGACTAATCAATCACAAATACTTAGATAATGGGCCATTCGCTTCCATTAAGGCCGCGTGTGTGTGTGTGCGCGTGCGTTTTGAAAGGCCCGAGCCTGTTTTCGCACTCACAGTCCTGCTTACGCCTCTTTTTTTAGCCGCTGGGACAATGATGTTTGTGAAGCGCACAATGCGGCGCCTCTTTGCCGCACTCTCGAATGAAACGGTTTTTTTTTGTCCAATTGTCTTGGTGAAAGTAGGCGCTCGTTTGCCGGCGGTGTTGGCGCGAGGCTCTAATGCGCCTCTGAAAGAAGCGGTGAAATCCATTAATACGGGATTATTACTTCTGCGTGCGCTCGTAGAACGCGGGGCGGAGGGGGGAAGCGGTTCCGGGTTTTGTGTGTAAAGAACACGGTGAAAGAGTTTATTCATCTGTGAGATTCACACAAAACGAAGCCACCGCCGTCTTCACATCAACGTCACAGGGAGAGAGTGTGGCGGGGTGTCACAGGGAGAGAGTGTGGCGGGGCGTCACAGGGAGAGAGTGTGGCGGGGTGTCACAGGGAGAGAGTGTGGCGGGGTGTCACAGGGAGAGAGTGTGGCGGGGACTTGATTCCGAGCGCCTGGACATTGTTCGCCGGTGCGAAATTACCCGGCAATTCCGGCGCGCGAGATCTTCT